TGGGCGGCTTTCGGGGCGTGAGAACGGTTTCGGAAGCCCTGTCGGACCCACACGGGCCGGTTCTCGGTGTGGTTTTGCTCCGTGGAGCCCCACAAAGCGCTAATCCTCGCTGTCGTGGTCTGCTGTTACCTACCTTTTACTCCTGCTTCTCCTGTAGTTTGAGAGCTTTAATAAAGGGGCAGTGTTTTGTGGGGGTCTTTTCTCTTTGTTAGGGGTGTTCAGCGTACAGTATATGCAAATACTCCTCGCAATTGGTTTTACAAGGAAGAGTAGGTTTGAAGCCAATTGTACTTACTCTCAGGTTTTTTCCCCAAGCAGAGGTCGCAAAGCCCCAAAGACAGAGTCAAGGTGGGAAGAGTGTTTTGCAGTGGAGCACGCATAGCGCCCTTTTTCCAGCCGGGACGGCTCCTCAAACCACATTCTAGATCCCATGCTCCCCTCAGACCCTGCCAGAGTAGTTTGTTTATACCAAAATGAGCACTTGAGTCTGGTTTGGGCCACATCCGGGCTGTGAGCAGGGGTGAGCACAGACCTGTGTGCTGGCAGATAAAGGGAAGGGTGGGAGTGACGCTTGTGAGGAGGTAGCAAGATTAGGGCTGAGGTCAGGAGCCACGGGTTGGGATTTTGTGTGCAGGATTGTTTTGCCTTTTTTTTTTTTCAACTGTCTTTTTTTGTGCAGCTGCATGTTTTGATCAGGAGTCTGCATGAACCATGCTGTGTCCGTTTCACTAGTTTGCATTTATCCTAGTGGAGAGGGTTCAAGGAGGTGCCTTTTCTGGATGCAAATACCTCCCGTGAATGCAGTGCTGGGGAGTCCACAGTGCCTTGTATTGACATCAACAGTTGATACCTCCTCTATCTGCTGTCAGCTGTGTACGGTGTTTGTACGTTTACTGGGTTTAAGTTGCTGGTTTTTAGGAGCCCTAAGTTAGTGGGCTTGGTTCTGTCTCCAATTGCTTCACAATTATCTAAGATGTTGGGATTACTTAAATGACAGTGATTTAAACGTATCCTAAAGTATATTGGTACTTGTTTTGGTTTTGTGGTTTCAGTTTGTTTTGTTGTTTGGGGGGAAGAAAAAGTTCAAAGTTGGTGCAACAGACAAAACACACTGAACCATTTAAGTTATGTAGTTTTCAAGTTCATGTTTTGATAAAATATTTGGTATTTACCTTACTATATTACTTAAAAGCATTTTGAGTTTCTGACAGATTCCATCGAAGCGAAGATTTTATTAAAGGGTTTATCAAATATTGAAAGTAGTTATTATAAATTTTCTCAACAATTTTGCGTGTCCATGTCTGCATATGCCTCTTAAAATCTACTAGCTTGGGCACAAAGCTTTGGTATCTTCCCCTCTTCCATTACAGTGAAATGTTAAGTACATTTTCCTTATTTGGGATCGTTGTTTGGCTTTTTTTTTTTTTTTGTAGAGAAGGGGAGAAATAGGCCTTGAAATTTCACAACATTAAGCAGGTGTCTGTTTACACTGTCCTTCCAAAACAGAAAGATTGATTTATGGATGAGATTATTTGATAGAGTTCATTTTTGGTTTACCTGAAAGTCGGGTCATCTTGGTGCCATCCTAAGGCATCAGGTCAGTAATTGTTCTGTCCTGGTCTCTAAGATTGCCAACCCGCGCTGCTGGAGCTGCTGATGTCAAACCCAACTTGGGTACAGTACCTGCCCATCCTGCTGTTGCCTTTGAAGAAGGAGTCACCTAGAAATGTCAGGTCATCAGTTGTGGGTTGTGCTCTTTTTGACTCTGAATTTAGCTTTGAGTGATTCAGAGGAATGGCTGAAGCTGTGAAGTTTTCCTGTTGGAGGAGCAGCCTCTCTGGACCGAGTCCTTACCCATGCCTGCCCTTATATTCACAGCCACGGCTTTCCAAAAGCCAGTCATCAACTTCTGAGCACCCTACAGAGTAACTTAGTTGGAGTAGCTTTTCTTGCATCTTTTGTTTTTGACTCATTCCCATAATGAGTTGGGAGTTGATTACCCAGTACGTCTACTTTCCTGGGGCCCATCATCCAAGGGCAATCTCCTTTTATTCAAGCTTTTCTCTTCTTGCCTGTTTTGATACTTCATCTGGCTCACATTGACTTTCATGCACATTGTGTTGGCTTGGACTTTCTCCTGTTTTGAGTGTGAAGGAAGTTCTCACTGTTAATCTGGGAAGCATTGCTTTTGCCATTTAAAATATTCCTGGATTACCATGATATTTTTAAAATTTAGAGGCCATGTATTTATTTGCTGCACACTCATAATGTATTCAGCCTTTTTTAAAGACCACATAAGCTTCATTAATAAAAGTAGTGCCAGGCTTGCTGTTAGAACCACCTCAGCTAGGTGACCTGTATCTGAACTGTGGGTTATGATGGGACTGTGCTGGGAGGGCTTCGCACCATTGCTGCTCTTTCGCCAGTGCACGAGGCCCACTTACACCAGACACTGCAGACATCTGCTGTACTTTTGCTTGGTAACTGATAGTTTTTGTCTCTCATGGGAAATAGAAAACATAAATATATTCAAATATATTCGTATGAGAGAGCTATGCCTTCTTCAGAGTTCATGAATGGAAGGAACATTACATTATTAAAGCAAGGAAAAAGGGTACAGTTTATAATAATTAATAAAAATAATTAAAAAAAAATCTTTAAAACCAATCCTTCACCGTCACTGTGAGAAGGCAGTGTTTTACATACTCTGCACGATACCGATCAGTTGTTGATGTCAGTAGAGGATAGTGTTGACTCTCCAGCATAGCATTTCTGGAAGGCATTTGCATCCAGAGAAGGCACCTCATCAAAGTCATCCTGAAGAGATGTGTCTTTTTTGCAGATTTTGTTTTGCTCAGGTTTTTGTCTGAGGAGGAATATGATTGTAGGTAATGTAGGAAACAGCAACGCTGAAGCAAATAAACTGGTTTTCTAACCCAGTTTCTTTTCTCATCCACAGTCTGAATTACCAGTTAGGAAGAATGCATTGAACCTTTCCCTGTGCAGACGTGTAATAACCATCCCTCTTATTTTTAGCTCAGTTGTGTAAATGTTTTGGTTGTGTAAATGCTTTTTTTGGTGTCGGTGACTGTTTATGCAGTTCCCAGTTCTGGCTGTTCTCTTGTGCTGTCCCTCCAGCTGGCTGGTGTAGCTGGTTGGGGGGCTCTGGACGAACTGTCAGGAAACTTATCTGGGTTAAAATAATCTTTTTTGGGTAGGATCCTGTGTAGCTTGGGTGAGTTGTTAGATTTGGTTCATGCGTACTTTCACAACTGTAACTGAGCAACTGGAAGGAAGGTACCAGAGTAGGAGTGAGGGAGAGGAGATGGGATCTACTTAAGCTATTACTTCTGCTGAAAGAATTGGACATTAACTGTGCCTTGAAAAATGGAAGTGATAGATCTGGGCATCAGTCAGTGCTTGATCATTGGTTGGCATTAAGATATGGGATATTTTGGTTTTCTTATATGTGTTAATTTGACATTGTAGTCCCAAAGTGTGTGGGGGGGGAAAAAAGCTTTCATTTCATGGTAGGAATGTGCTGATTAGATGGTATATTTTTGCAGGCATATTGTTATTTTGTATTTTAGTTACCATTTCAATCAGCTTTCCAGCTACCAATGTAAGATCTAATGATCTAAAATACTGTACCGCAGCCCAAGAAACTTTCGTTCTTGTCTCTGTTTGTTTATAATAAGGGCACATGGGTTGCTCTCCTCCAGTCCTCTGGAAGAATAGCTCCTGGGGAAAATACTCACCTTTTTCTTATATAAGGGAGATTGTTTGAAAGTAAAGACAAAACATGTTTATTGTACTTTTGGTTATCTGCATCTATGTGAAGATTAAGTATGGGGACATCTGTGTATAAATTATTTATAAAGTGTTCTTTTGACAGACTGATGATTTTCTTTGCCCTGTGTTACTTGGAATGTACTCTGCATTGTCTGTTGAATTTGATTTGGTTGAGACATATGTGAGAATTTGCACTTGTTTGCTTGCTCTCTGTCTTTCTCTCTTTTGTTTATGCATGATGGACAGTGCTGATTTCTAATTACGCTGTGTCCGTATTACATTAGCAGGTATATTGACTGTGTTGTCTATTATTTTCAGGCACGTGGCCATGGAGGCTATGATTCTGATTTTAGTGATGAGGAGAATGGAGAGAAATCTGTGCAGAAGACTAAAAGGTAATGTAGTACAGAATTAATACTTTGCATTACATATTTTGTGCAAATGGCCTATTACTGTGTATAGAAGATTTTGCTGTGGTATGTGAAGTCTGGTGTTGAAGTAGTTTTTGAAAAATCAGGCTCTTTGATTCCTGCATCTCATGGCAAGCTTGCCAAAGCATGTCATCTCCCAGGGGCAGCTGATTAAGATCCGTTCTGCCATGTCCATCTGGTGTCTGTATGCCCCTCAGTTCTCAGAGCAGTGCATTTCATTTTTCTGAGCATTAATATCAGCTGCTGGGGTTTGGCTGCGCTGCTCAGTTCGCTGTGATCCATCAGGACACATGGAACTGCTAAGAGAGTTAAGGCAAAAAAGGCCAAGTGGCAGCAGGCTTTGTAGCTACAAAATACCTTCTTGGAGGAAGTGAAGAACTGATGCTACTTGTTTATTAATTAATTTGTGAAGAGGCCTGGGAATTGATGAATTGTGTTGTCCTTGAAGTGTAACTACACAGCTCTTATTTGAGATCACCTTTGCCAAGTCTTTCAGTGGTTCGCACAGTTAGTGACCTTGAATTTTGTAGTCTGATCTCATTATATTCTTAAGATTTTTATTTATTTATGTATTTATTTTGCTTTGGCACCATAGTCCTTGAACACTTTCTGCGCTGTACTAAACATTTTGCCTCCATTATGCATATATTTTTCTTAGCTTTTCCTGTCTCTCCCTTGCTCTGTTATTGGACTTTATTTAAGAAGGCTTTCTGGAAACTTTCCTAGGACTCTTGCATATTTTCCATTGTAGTAAAACTGAAAGAATGGGTTTTGTAGGGTCTGACTGCATTCTGGGAAAAAATTTAATGTTCTAATCACTGGAATAATAGCAGGCATTGTGCTGTTTCATTTATTTTATAAATATAGCTGTTCTTCATTAAAACAGTGACTGGTTTTGTTCAGTTTTCGTTTTCTTTAAATGGCCATTACGCATTATACCATTGGACTTTCTAGGTGGAATATTAACTAACCATCAGGAGCCTTTCAAAAATATCGTCATTACCCTTGTTCTGGCACACCACTGCTGATTCCCAGTAGGGCTCTTTTGTGGGTTCACTGTATATGTATATATCCCTTTCTTTCTCTATGACAATATTTGTTTCCACTTTAAGGAAAATAGTAGTCTTTAAGTTTTATGCATAATCCTGTTTTATGGAGTCTCCTTATGGGAATTTTGTGTCTACAGATCCTTTTGAACAAACGATACCCTTAGTTTCTAGAGTCCTATATGCCATAGCTTGAAATATAAATTCCCTGGCTTGCTTTCTACAGGTTTCTGACTTCCGTTCTTTCTGCCAGCTGATAATTACGGAAAAATCTTTTCTTTACCTCTATTGAGGAATGAAATTAGCTAAATATACCTTTTACTAGCTAAAGTGCATCACTTTATTGCTTTTTATTACTTTGTTGAATTCTGAAAGTATTTTTAGCTGCTCACTGACAAGTATGGTTCACAACACAGTACTTCAGTTTTAAATTAGCGATTCTTGTGATTACACGGAGAGGCAGAGCTGTTTAATGAGGTGTTGAGACATTAGCATGAAAGGATGGGATCGGGTTACTAGCAGTCACTCTTATTCAGTGAATGTACTGTCCTTCCTGCTACTTGGCTGTGTAGCTGAGATTTATAGAGGGCTTTAAATGTCGAGTGAAGCTGAGGAGTCTTCAGCATTTTTTCATTGTGGTTCTCTAGTGATAATATTGATCAAAATACGTATCACAAATTGCTGTTTTAAGCCATTTTCTTTAAATGCTAACTTGTAAGCAAATGCCTTTCTGATTTTGTTCTGCAAATAAAGTCTAAGCTGCTGTTGGTTCTGAAGTCTGGTTTTATTGGTGTAGAAACTAGCAATATAACAGTTTTTGTCACTCAAATTAGTGCAAAGTTTAGGTTATGGAAATTTTATTGCTTATGAAAAGTTCTTGACTAACTTTTTTTTCCTTTTTGCCCCCTACCTTTAGTATAAAGGAAGATGGTCTCCTGATAAAGCCATTCCAAAAAACAAAACAAGGCAATGTCGTTCACAGACAATTCGCAGCTGAAGAATGGGATAGGTATCTTTTATCTTTTGTTTTTGTGCGGTGTTTTTCCCTTAACATAGAGAGAGCTTTCACTCAAACGTATTTTTTATTGACAGGGAAGAAGCAAGAAAAAGAAGATTTCACTTGATAGCGATGGATGCCGTATCCTTCTATTTCATTTTTCTTCAAGCTTGAAGATGGGGTGCAGGTTATCCATTATGATGAAATACTGGGGTTTCCCAGTTGTCACAGCAGTTGATAGTGCAGCACCAGAAACTGAGTCATTCTTCAAGTCAGCTGCTATTTGTTGCTGAGATGTCTCTGAGAATGCCTCTACTGAGTAGAGGCATTTCCACATTCTTCCTATATGCTCATTTGTCCTGTTTGGAACAAAATTATTATACAGTGAATTTTATTTAGACTGGCACAAAGGCACATTACTTTTTCAGTTGAGTTTATGCAGAACATAATTCTATATAAGGCCTCTATTATCTGTGGACAAATACATTTCTACTGGAAATTTAAGAATGCATTAGTTTATTCAAAAGTGTATTCAAAACAGACTTATCTCCAGTAATATCTTCTACAGATGCTCTAATGTAAGCCTGTTTAATATCATGTGCAGTTTTATTTTAGGTTTTTTTAAAATCTCTTAATCATATTTTATGCATAATTTGTAACTATTTTTATAACCACTACCTTATTTAGACTACAACCTTTCTCCTTTTATTTATTTTTCACCTGGGGCAGTCATTACGTGTTTTGACTGAGAGTATCTGAAATACCATCAGTTCGTTGTTTGTTTAAATAGCTGTTCTTCAGCAGTAACAGTTAATAAATAGGAAAGTAAAGACTAATTGAATATGGGAAGACTTACTTAAATCTGGAAACCCCAGTAAACAGAAAGTAACTTCTCCTAACCTGCTTAGAATTTGGCCAGGCACTACAAAAACCATCGCATGCCTGTAAAGGGGACATATCTTAGTCCCACTGATGTTGTAGACTGTCATTTGCCACAGAGAAGTCTGTGTATTCTGGAATGACTACAAGATTCATTGTGTGGAGACTTTCATGAGTTTCTGCTAATGTTTTTGAGTGGTTCCTATTTAAAACCTTTACTGTTACACAGTTTTAACACCTAATAACTCAAATGGCAGCACAAAATAGTATGTTGTGTTAAATGTGTTCAATTATGCCTATTAAACCTTCTGCACTTGCTTCTCTACTCCTTTTATTTGTGGTGGAAAATTAAAAAAAAGACACATACCAAAGTTAAATTAACTTTTGGGGGGCCTTTTGAAAATAAAACATTTTCTCAATAAAATTCTAATGCACGTCAAAATAGTAGGTTGCTACAAATTATTCACACTGATGCAGTAGTTGTCAGGATATGTACCAGGGAATAATGCGTTTCCTAATTTGCTGCTTCAGAAGTACCAGACAAGTTAATTGAAAATATTTTTAAGTAGCCATATATAATGTTTTTATTTGTGAAGATGCTTATTTTCTGAATAAGTAATTACATATTTTTGCTCAAATTATGGTACAAAACATGTTTCAAATCCTATCTCTGAGGCCGAAATTTTCTAAAAAAAGCATTACATATTTTCCCCTGATTTTCTTCTCCAAACTAAAGCAGATAACTTTTATTTGTATGTTGATGGTAAAATGTAATAAATTGTTCCATTTTAGTAGCCAGACTATTTTTATAATACAAAAGTACAAACCTGTTTTAAACCAAAACTGCAATACTAAGAAGCTGTTGTCTAAATTACAGCTGAAAAAATGAATCCAGTTTCTATGTAGAGAGCATCTTTGATGAAGGAAGACAATTTTATAAAGGTCTGGCAACTGAATGATGTTTTAAAGATGAAATTACCTTGAATTCCTGTATTTAGAAAGTAGCTTTTGTTATTAAGTAAAAATTGCTAATTAATTCCTTCCTTTCTGGAAATCACTGAACTGTTTTTGAGGAGAAAACTTCTTCCTGTTAAGTTTTTATTATTTTTTTCATTTCAAACTATGGTGAAACAAAAGAAGATAAGTTCTGAAACATTCCTTAATTTCTTTATTCAGTATGAGAGACATAAAAAGCTTGTGAATGACTACATTTTATACTATGGTGGCAAAATAGAGGACTTCCGACGTTCTGGGTAAGTGCCATTAGCAATCTTTCCCCACATGCCCCCAAAGCTCCCCTGTTACATAAAGTTATTAAATATATATTATAGCTTTGGGGGGAGAGCGGGATGCGGCTGTGTATGAATTTACTAATTCTTTTGGTCACAAATAGTAACTACAGTAATTGCAAATATCCAAACCACAGAATTGCCTTGTTTCATTTTGCGCCATTATTTTTATAGAAGAACTTAAGTGAGCTGAATTATTCTTGTTTTGTTATGTAAAAGGAAATATGACAGGTGAGCCTTAATTGAGGGTACATTGAGAAATATCTGGCAGTACCTTCAAAGTAACAATCCAAAATGCTTTGAAATGTGCAGAATTGCTATCCATTGTCCAGAATAATGATAGCCGCCTTTAGAGCTATCTGTAACTGCCTTCTAACATTAATGTCTTCAATAAAAAGTATAAAAAGTATTTTCAGACAGGATCAAGTCATCCACAGTTTCAGTGGCCACTTTCCACTGTGGATTTTTCATTCGGGAAAAGGTGTGCCAGGGAATACATTTTATATTCCGTAGGAATATATTCCTTTATGCGGTGAGGTGGAGACCACAACTGTGAAATGTTGATATTTACCAAATTATTATTTGACTGATGTTTCATTTTAATATTGCATTGTACTAAAAAAAAGTGTCCTTTTATAGAGCAAACGACAAGACGGATCTTGATGTTATTAGAGAAAACCATAGATTCCTGTGGAATGAAGATGATGAAGCAGACATGAATTGGTACCTGGAACTATTACAGAACATGTTGTTTTTAGATCACTTGTACTAAATTTGTGGTGTCCCCTACTAATGAAGATTACTGTGCATACTTTGTGATCATTCTTTGATCTTTAATGCATTTAAAAATGAAAGATCTTTAGGAGGTCTTTCTTGTTGTAATATTGCTCAGTGGCAAAATTAATTGATGACAGAACTAAGAAATATTTGTGCATTCTCTGAGATCCAAATGAAGGAAGCCTAGTTTGAAAAAATACAGTTTAATTTCTGCTGTAGATGTATGTTAGATGTAGTTTCCCAGTTTTATGGAAATTACCCGTTAGCTCGATGAGTGTATTGCTGTTGCATTTCTAGCCCTGCAACTTGTGTTTTTCATATGAAACAACAATTCCTTGTCTTGCTAATGACATTACAATGTAAAATGAATTGTGTCATATTCTGTATTTAATAAAAAATAATACATTTTCTTATAGGGAGAAAAGGCTTGCAAAGAAGTATTACGATAAATTGTTCAAAGAATATTGTATAGCAGATCTCAGTAGATACAAAGAGAATAAGGTACGTTTCATTATTGTAAATAATCTTGGTTTTAAAGCATGTCTTTTTTAAAAAATTGCCTTATGATTGTGGATATGTTGTGAAAACAGAATGTTATTACCCCTTCCCTAGAAAGAGAGTTGTGAGAACTTGTCAAGTTATTTAATAAGCAGCAGCAGTTTGAATTCAAGCATTGTCACTGCCCCAAAAATGTGCTTCTGTGGGAATAGGAGCATTTCTGTCAGATGGTGTTTTATGAAGAGGTACATTGTGTGTAAGAAAGGCAGAAAATGCAGAGAGGTTAAGGAGAGAAGGCTAGAGAGGTTTGCCTGGAGAGAAGCACTAGATGAAGCCTAAAAACACCCTGGGAATGTTACTGTTAAAAAAAAAAAAAAAAAATCTAAAAAGAGTTTTGTACTTGAATGCTGGCAGAAACCATTTTGGAAATGTCTGTTCTAAAGCAGCGTCTTTTTTGCTGGTTGTACTTCTCTGTTTATGGAAAGAGGATTTGTGTGTCCCTTGTAAATAAATAGAGTTTCTTAAGAGAAACAGTCCAATTCCAGCACCAGTTTTTCTTCTTAACTGGAACAGCCTTTGTCGTTTCCAAGTTTTTGACTGAGTAACCTCTTAGTCAAAAAGAATACATGAATTTTCTGTTGTGATTTTGCAAAGAGTGTTGCTGAACTCAGATGCGTCTTAGTGTTGTTAGCACATAGTAACAACCCAGCTCTGCAAGCAGTGTCTATATAAAGTTCTTTAAGGCTATTTATAGTATTGAAAGTCACATTCACTGGTAAATATTTGCAAGGACTGGGCTTAAACTCAAATATTAGGCAGAAAAGATGACAGCCTTCTAAAGAAAATTAGAAGAGAAAAATGCAGAAATTAGATTAAAATTAGTAAAAAGTAAAATGCTGAAGATGTCTTCCCTCCTTTTTTTTGAGTAAATTCGATTTTATTTTCCTGTAGCTGTTTCATATTCCTCCATCTCTGCCCTGCCCCCCAACTGATTTTTCCCTTGAGCATGCTTACAGATTTTGCTTCTTTCACTACCGTGCCAAGTTTCCATATGTTTGCTATCTTTTGTGGGAAACTGTTCTGCCCCAGTTCCCTTTTTTTTTTTTTTTTTGTGTGTGTGTGTGTGTGTGTGTGTGTGTGTTGTTTGAACAGTGTTTCCCTGTCAGACTTGAAAGTGGATGTCCTAACTTTGAGGTCACTCTGAATTCCTGTTCGTGCTCATAAGTCATTACCTATATTTTTGGAATTGCCATGTCAGCATAACTCTGCTGTATCATGTAATTTGTTCTCTTACGTTATACTTTCTGTTCTCAAATATGTTCTGACTATGTGAGAGTCCTTTCTTAGAAATTACTAGAAAAATAGAAAAAAAGAGATTTTTCTCAATTATTGATTTATCCATGCCCATGTTTGGTACAGAAGGATGTCACAGCAGGTTTTTTTCTTGGAAGTCAGAAATAGGCTGCTGATCCCGTTCACACCAATGGAATACAGTCTGTGCTTTCAGATTTTTCCTGTCTTGATTCTTTTTCTGCACTTCCAGAAACTGGAAGTTGGGTATCTTTAGCCCCTCGTGCCTTCTGCTTTGCAGTGCTGGTGCTGTGAGACATGCAGGGTGGGTAAGAAGCTTCTCAGCTGGCCAACTTTTCATATGATAGTTGTTGATGCTTTATATGGTGATGCTTCATCTTGGTATCAGAAAGAAATTTTTTAAAATGAGAACATTAATTCACTGGAACAACCTCCCCAGCAACATGGTGGAGGCCACATCACTGGAGGTTTTCAAGGTACGATTGCACAGGGTGCTGGATAGTCTCATCTAGGCTTCTTTCCCACGAAAGGTTGGACCAGTTGATCTTTCAAGGTCCTTTCCAACCTGGGCTGTTCTGTGATTCTATGATTCTATATTCTGCTAGGTGGTGTCAAAGTAAAGTTGGAGATCATTTTTCTGTGATGTTTTACATATATATATATGTTGCATAGCACATGCATACTCATCTGTCTTTTCCCAACTGTAATTGTTTTGCTACTAGCCAAAATCTTCTAGCCAGCTAATTGTTCTAAAGACCTCTGCATAGAGATTGTAGCTCAGATCTCATTTAGAACTTCTCCTCTGAGAAAAGCCACTGTTTTCCTAAGTATTGGATAATGACAAGGAGCAGTTTCATGGGTGGGCCTCCCTTGAAGTCTGAAAAATAAGCAGAGCACCTTGTCAAAGACTGAAGCTCAACAGTGAGGAGCCCCAGTGACATACAAACCCCCGAGGCCACAGCTTCCCTCCAGTTGCCTTTTCAGGCTGTTTTACTCACATACGTGCATTCATACACACAGAGATGGCTGGGACTCTCCTGGTCCCATAGCAGACCCCCCTGTGCTCTCATCCTTAGAGATGCGTAGGTACTCATACCCAGAGCTGGCCAGTGGAGACCCACTCACCCTCCTTGCTTCCAAGCAACTTCACCTAGCTGATGGCTAGCCTGGCTTGATCTTCACTGGTGCTCACTCACTCACTTGCGCACCTGCACTCATCTTGGCTGCTGGCACCGCAGACAAATGGGACCCTGTGACCCACGATCCCACTTTTCTTTGTGTAGTTAGGTCATATAATCTTTTCCTTCTCTTTTAATGGGAAACGCCAAGGTGACCTTCTGGTGTGAGGCTACTTAGAGACACACTGGAAGAGTGTGCTCTGACAGCTCTTGCTTGTGATGGGTCTGTTACTCCTTAAATTTTCCCTAGATCAGAATTTTTTGGGTCAAGGTTGTCTTTGAATCTTCAGTACATCTTGTCTGCAAGCTTTGAGGCTGATAAATGACTGTCTGCATTGTCAGATAGTTTAGTTCTATTGTCAGTTTTGCAATGCAGTAAGGGAGAGTGCTCTGCATGTAAGTTTTACTTTGATACGTGTTGGACTAGAAATGTTCTCTTCTCTTTGTTGTCTTATTGTCCTAGAAAGGTTTGTATTTGCTGTCTCTGTGCTTTCTTTTGTAGCTTAACAGATTGGAAATGTCTCCTGTTTGCTAAGAAATGAAATCTCTCTGACACCTGGTCATTAAATAGAATACTTTTTATTCTTTTGGTTTTATTTCCAGATAATTTTCAGATTTCTAGGCCAACTGTCTTCCACTTGGTAATGTTAATATGTTCACTTTTGTCATTGTTTCTCAGCATGGAGGCTTTCCTGTGAAAATAAAAATATTTAAAACATCTATAGTATTTTTCCACAGCATTGTCTAAATTCATACATTTCTTTTTTCCTGAAAGAGGTGACTTTTGACATGTTTTTTGTTACTGCAGCTAATGCATGTTACACAAGCAGCCCATATTTAATTTGAGAATGTTACTGTTTACGGATATTAAACCATCTTTCACATTTTCAAAACTATCGTTTCTTATTAAGTTAGCCATTTGATACTCTTGTAAGGCATCTGGTTTGGAGTTGTTCTACTTGGTCTTGGTCTGCCTTGTAGAAATAGCTCATTTAGGATCTTGTTGAACTCATTTAACAAAGAAGATGAGGCAGAATAAAATGCTGTCTGCTGACAGTGCTTTTGCATTCCTTAATATTGCAGGCTGACTATACAAGAACCTACTCTAATTTTTAATTTCCCTATATAGTTTAATCTGTTCCTGGTATTTTAGCTTAGTTAGAGGAATTCAATTCTATTTACTTTGTATTTTGTTGTTTCTTCTTAGCCTTGGTTACTTTCTGTCATTTTCCACTAGTGGGTGGAAGAATAGTTGGCAAAAATGAATGTGGATGAGGACAACTTTTGTCCTAGGTATGCTGCAAGTGGTTCTGGCTCCCTCCTTTCTTTTATTTTGCTTATTTTTCTTGATATCATTACAGAAATGCCCTGTAGGGATGTAATCTGATTTATATCTTATTGAGTCAAATTCAGACCGTGAGAGAAAATTTGTATAGAAGTCTACTTCAGTAGCAAAAGTGAGCATGAATAACGTGGTGATTGGTGAAGTAGCAGATAGACTATGAAAAAGCAAACATGCAGATAAGGTTGAATTGTTTTTTACTCTTTATTGCCAGCAGCACACAGGTGCAAAATTGGTGCCAAAATACTGTTGATGTTTAATCATAAACTTGCAGCATTTTTCAATTATATCACAAGCTTTCAGAATTAGAATATCCTGTAAAGTAGCAAATATCCTTTGTAAGAGCAAAAACAATTACTATCACTCTTTGGATCAACTGATTTCCGTCATGAACTCCACATTTACAGATGTATTTTACATTCTGTTTCCACTGAACTGTTCAGCACAGTTCTTGGTTTTTACAATTGATTAATTTTTGTTTGACTGAAGCATGAGTGGTACAATGGTGCTGTAGACCACAATGCAGATTTGTAGAGTAAGCCGAGCACAACCTGATCCAGTCTTAGCAAACTGTCATCATACACAGTGTGTTGGCAGAACCTTGATCATCTTCTGTGATTTTTTTACCAGTGAAACCAGTAGGTGAGAAAACATTGTTTGTGTTACAATACCAATTTAAAAATTAGTGGACTGATTTAAAGAGGCAAATATTTTGTTGATTTACAAATTTTTAGTTTTCTTAGATATCTTCTGTGTAATTTATTGACTTGGGGAACATCAGTGCCGACAAAAGATTTGGCTACTGATGTCTTTCTGCTCAGTTTCTTCAGCTTTGTTGGTAAGATGGAAAGCGTTTATGTGAGAGTATGGCACGTCCTTAAAAGCCAAAACTTCTGTTTCCCTGTTTTTTTCTGATGTTCCTTCAACCACATACCACTTCATGCATGAGAACTCCATGCTGTTGCCCTTCAGATAAAGAATTATGGTTTATTAAAAAAAATCAACAGCATTAAAGACTAAACACAGCAATAGATACCTGTGCTTCTGTACAGTGTTTAAAATTAGATTAAAAACATTGAAAATCAATCCAGTGTATTACAGAATTTATGCCACTGCATCTACAAAATGCACATTTGTGTGGGTTCAGCCTATGAGTGTGCCAAGAAAGGTTTATATTCCAAAGGATGCTTTGGAACTCAGGTGCCAAAGATGGGCTTTGCAGCCATTTTTGTAGCTCTTTGATTTTTAACCCTTCTTCCCTCTCTTCCCTCCCCATCTTTTAACAGAAGTTCAGAGCCTTCTGTGCTTTGCTTACAGAGCAGCAATTTCACCTTGTTCTCATCCTGTGTTCATAAATTTTAAATGGAAATAGAAGATAGCCCTTTTTGGAGAAGTTGTATGCCTCTGAGTTTTATCCCCTTTTTCTACTTGTTAGTGAAAATAAAATTGTTTTTCCCAGGCTGTTCTCACTCCCCTCCATCTTCAGTCTTTTCACTTGGCTACTTGCCATTTTGAGGGGATGAAGCAGATTCTGCTGGAAAACAAATATAGTAGATGGGCTATCTACATGTGAATTTTCTAGGCAATGTAAAGAGAAATACAACTTCGTTGTTGGTTTGGCTGTTTTTTTGTCTTGGTCTTTAGGATGCAAGAGGTGATCCATTGATATGTGCTAATACGACTTTTCAGTATTCTAGTGGTCTTCTCAGTTTGTAGTGTGGACAAAATTGCACTGAAGTATCCAATAAAGTCAGACTATCCTAATTTCCTATTTGTTCTTCTGCCTGCTATGAAGCCTTGTAGAAAGTTCCAGTTCAGTACTGGACAGCATCTAATGGAATTTGAATTGCATGTGTAAATGGGAATCCTTCTGGTGGGCAGAGGCAGAGAGATATTTTTAATAGAGAAAGAAATTATATGTTACCAACCAGAACTGAATGGATGAACCATGTGCAGACATCAGTCAACTGAAATTAGTCTTTCCATTACTGAATATGTTGACTATTCACAATTTAATTTTGGTTCTTATCTTAACAGTTTGGATTTAGATGGCGCCACGAGAAAGAAGTAATTTCAGGAAAAGGTAGTGCTGTCTTTCATTATATATTATGTTTCTCCTTGATGCTTTTCTTGCTGCTTTTTCACATAATTTCATTAGACAGTATTTGACAATACTGTTAAGTTTATCAGATAATAATGGACAATAAATTGACCTAACTTCTAACTTTGATGATTTATGGCACGTAACTCTATAGAGTGCATGCTGATCTGCATATATTAAAATTAAGACAACATACGGTTTATTTTCACAAGGTCAGATTTGCAATGAACACCAACATAATGCATTTGATATTGTAGAATTCATGGATATGATTTTTAGCTGCTTTTCTCCAGTAGTTCTATGTTACCTCATCAGTCTTTGATACCTTTAATTGAAGTCTCTCAATACTTTTCCTCAGGAAATAATTTTCTGAACAGTTTCTCCAATGCTGTTTTGCAAAATTTTAACTTTAATTTAAAAGTTCGATGTGTGCTGTCTGTTTTAGGCTAAATTGGCTTTGAAAGCTTCAGTGGGAATGGTTGTCATGTCTCCCAATCCTGTTTCTAAATCAGTAGCTTATTCTGGCTGCTTCTGTGTATGAGTTCTTACCAATGTGTTATTGGGACTTTGCACAGTGGTCCCCGTTCCGTGGCCTCGGTGCACGGACTTTTTCCAGTAGCTAAACAAGCAAGAAAATGATGTGAATGTATTGCTCTTCCTGTGGGTAGATCTTCATGCACATGTACAGTTTTCAGAAGTTGTGCATGCACACGCAAGAAAATTGCATGGAGTGATACTGTTGATCAGAACAGTTCTGTAAACGGCTCTATTTGTTATAATATATTACAAGAAGTTAGAAATGCACTGGTTTTTAAAAAAATTATATCTTATTTCACAGGAGGACGTGTGAACATAAATGGTGGGGTTTTTTAAGTTACAAAGGTTAAAGCTCCTAAAGGTAGTTGTAGTAATATGTTGCATTCAGCACTACACGTTATATTAACAGATAGTTAAATTTGATATAGTTATGTGCTTTCTTGAATGCTTTAAAAAGATAATTAACATTTAATGAGAAATTAGTAATTTATGCATAATTGTGTCTTCATGGGGAAAAGGAATTTAAAGATGCATTGTACTTTTAGTAGCTGGTACTCCGTACTTAAAAATATGGGAGAAAGTGCAGAATTACATGTTTCAAGCTTTTTAATGAAATCCTAATGGAAAGCAATTGGAACATAAGAATTGAGCAATAGTATCTTTCACCACTAAGGGGCGCAAGAATTCAACCTTATGTATTAGATGCTCTTTCCAAGTGCCATTTCAAATGATCATTTAAAAAAAGGTGTGAATCTTTAATGCCTTTCTTTTGCTATTTTTAAGTATAAATCAGTAATATAAATTGCTTTAGTGAAATGCACTCTCCATTTTTTCACTGTTTCATTGAATTAAGGCTTCACTTTTAGCATAGTAGTGTCTGTCTTAGCCTATTTTTTATATGTATAAGTACACTTATAATATGCTTCACCTTATTTAAAAAAATGTTCTTTCAAACCTGTTTCCAGTTATTTTTCCTCAGTAATTTCCTCCATGGAAAATAGCCAGGGTATCAATACCTGGATAGTGCACCATGTATCCACGCACTGATCTGGTACATCTAAGTTCTGATCAAAATGCATTAAAATCAGTGGTTTGGATCTCTAGATTTCCTTAGTATATTTAATTTTCAGTATTTCATTTAGCTTGTAGTACTTACATTTTCCACCTGTCCTGCTCTTCTGCAAGAAGCAGAAGGTGCTAATAGTTTTTGAAAGCATACATTTAACAGCCAGATTATAGGTGTTATAATTCTGAACGTGAAGGCAATAACTTCCCTGAAGCTCATAGCAAGGTGACAAAATTTCAGATGGGAATGGAATTTTGGACATACCTTTTTCTTGCTAATTAAATTAGGTAACTGTCCACTCAGCAAGCTGGTTTCTGTGTCTTCCTTTCTTGAACATCTAACTGTGGGAAAAGTCATGTTTCAAGTACTGAATAGTCTGGTCTATAGTTCCTTTGATTTGGGTTCTCCATATACATGATGGGGATTTTCAAAAATAGGCTTTTTAAAGCTTTTCTGACATTCAGATATACTAGAGTGATAAAAGCTACTGGAAAAGGCTTCAGAATGAGTGGAATTCTGTATTCAAGTCCAGGTTTGAATATGTGTTGCAGGGATTGCAATGTGAAAGGAGGGTGAGAGAAGCCTGGCTGTTTATACATGTGTGCGGCATGGAGCAGGGATCTACTGAAAAAAAAACCCACCATGATGAAAATACTTAGATCATTGTAAGTGTGTAAGGCCACAGAATTATGGTGGTTTACACATTCAAGTTCCAGTTTGCCTAAGAATTCATTGCTTGCCTTAGCAATCTGAAGATACTGTTCCGACTGTATTCTTGGGAACATATCTGTTTTCACGTACAAAATGTAGAATATCCAAAATGGATTTTACATACTGTAGAGAGCAGCTAATGATAAATAAAATTCATGTATCTTTCTTTTTGCTCTTCCTGGTTTTCTGTGTTTGTTTTGGGATTTTTTTCAGAAGATGTGAAGAGTCTAGTTAAGTTCCAAAAAGTTTTATATAGTATGAATTTTTCCTTGTAGATTTTTACTTCTTTATAACGGATATAAATTGTTCCTGATGACACAGGATACTGATAGCCATACCTTATATAGAGTTAAACGTATTTAATGTATATTAATTTGATAATTCTTTTTTAATGCGAATCCTGGGGGTTTTTTTTGCCTCAAGTGTTAGCATTGCAAGTGGTTTTACATTACAGAACTGAAGTATCTGAGGACACTGCCAATCCATTAGTTAGCAGCTTAAGCAGAATGTTCTGAGGTTAATCGTTCACCAACAGTCTTGCTTGTGAGCCTATTAATACACCGCCAGCTCTGCATGCAAATCAGTCTTCTGCAGAGGGAATATATGTATCTTTATTACTGCAGTATTGGGTGCCCAGTAGGGTAAATAACATTGATTATGTGCAAATTGTTTTAAAATTAGTGTTATGTTTAACATAATAAATCCAAGGAAGCTTTCAAAGCTGCCATATAGTGTCTTACAGAGCTGGATTTCCTTTTCTTAAAAGAAAAGTAAAGTGTTTATGGAAAGTCATTAGAATACAAATTGTATATCCAGAATATCAGGTAAACTAGTCAGGTAATAAGAACATGGGCATCTTAATTTTATACATACATGATACTTTGAATAGTTTGATGTCATTAAAGATGAATGTCTGAATTGCACCTCCTGACCCATCAGTCTCTGCTAAGTAAGTAATCATTTAAGATATAGAATGTATCCTAGTGACATTAATTTCTTCAGAGTTCATCATTAGGCTTATTATTTCATACCATATGCCTTTATCTATACATTTTAAACACAGCTCATGTTCTTTCTTTGCAAATATGCAATATTAGACAGATATGATTGATTGCTTTGTCATTATCTGTTATTGTTTCCTTAATCTAGATGTTACTTTTAGATTTGGGCTTTTTTATTTGGAAGAAATGGAAAACAAAAAGCAAAAACTGAGCAAAATGGGACATAACAACACCAAACCTATGCTTGGTAATCATTGAACCATGGTTTGCTGTTTTTGACCTCTTTAAAGGTCAGTTTTCCTGTGGAAATAAGCACTGTGATGAGAAAGAAGGCCTGAAGAGCTGGGAGGTGAATTTTGGTTACGTTGAACATGGTGAAAAGAGGAATGCACTTGTGAAATTGAGTAAGTCAGCCCTTCAAGAATATGTACACTCAAAAAAAGGCAAATACTTTGTGCTTTAAAAGCTATGGAGTGAGACCCAATGATTATTATATTAGTTCATGCAAAATGGAAAATGCTGAATAGGAATTAATTTTGTTAAATTAATTACAGGTAGTATGATGGTCTTGATTTAGAGAGAACAGCTGTTGTTGTGTATGACAAAGTTGTTTTAGTCTTAGCACTTCATGCTGTATAATTGGTGGTGCCATAAAATTAGAATCACTGATTATAAGCTGGTTTGGATACAAGCATGTCTGGTTTTAACGGACAATACTGCATTGCAAGGAGGGTTTCATCATTGTCATTGCTTAATCAGTTACATGGCTTAGGAGTCCTTAGGGCTTTGGACCAGACAACTTCTTGCATGCCTTCAGCTCTACTAATTTTATTTTTAATACCTGTGTTTTCTTCCAAAAACTTTAATTAAAACACTTCCTTTTCTAGTCTTGTCTCTTGAGTGGGATTTTCTTATTCAGTATGATGTACGTTTTGATATGTTCATCAGATAATTAAACTTACCACAGTCACTTACACAGTTGCTTTGTGTAAAACAAGCTAATGGTGGTTTTTTCTTTTGTGCACAAGACACTCCATGTGGCAGCACTTGGTCTCTGGCAAAGCTCTAAGAGACTTACGGGTCTTCAGTATAATTATAGGACAATTTGGTCTGTCCACAAAGATCCATAAAATGGGATATTTGCATGTGATAAGCACTGATACTTCTTTATGAAGATTTGCTAGTGCTAAACCTGTGATCTTTCTCCAGGTTCAGTAAAATCTGGTTTTGTGCTGAAGACCTTTATCATAGTGTTTTTCTCAATCCTGGCTGCAATTACACTGTAACTTCCGTTTTGAAGGAAAAGCTATTGAAATTGGAAGATAGTGTTCTATCTAGTTTTGTATATCTATTAGTTAGTTTATCAAATACATGGGTGTAATGTTCTCATTCTCTCTTTTTCAGGAACATGTCCAGAATGTTCCTACAAACTAAACTTTCATCACCGGTAATGAAATATTTTGAAAATTCGGGGGCTGAATTATTGATAGATTACAGCTATAATCAACAACAAATAGGGGGAAAACTTCAGCTAGATGATAAGGAACTTCATTTATGCTGAAATAGATTCTGTGTTGGAATTCTTATAAAGTCACTGGCTTGACACTGTTGAGAGTTAGATATTGTGCTAATGAAAGTACAAAACCCCTCAAACTGGAGGAATCCCATCCCCATGCCCACAAAAGTTTCCTTTTCTTAATTTCAGCCTAGTGTTTACTTTTCTTTTCTGAAAGTTTATGCAAACCAGCCTTTTCTTATTTTCCCTCTGGCTGTGTTTAAGAGATGGAATGCTTTTCCTTTTCTTAAAAATAGTGGGTTTGTATGTGAATCAATTGACTGAGCTTTGAAATTATGGAGCTGAGTATTTGTCCTTTGAGAATCATTAATAGGAGAGAAAAATAGTAATTTTTGAACCTATAAAATGCATGCATTAAGATTTAATTTGGTTTTTATTATTGTCTATGACCTTACTGAATTCCACAACTGTTGATACTCAGTTTTTATGATTTTCTGAATCACGATATGTCATTAGCTTAGTTGCACGGCTCAGTAACTAAGCTGTACAATTACCTGAAAAGCATGTGAAAGGGATTCCTTTGAGCTAGGAAATTATGATTTCTTTTTTAAAGTAATGTAAATCAAAGCTACGTCTAGATGGATATATCCAAGATAGTTAATTAATCCATTTTAAAAGTTAATTCATATTCAGTTTCATTAAAGCACTGTGTAGGCACATATTAAGGAGGATTAACTATCTGAGATCAGTTTGATTTGTCTTGCTTCTTTTTAGAACTGAAATTGTAAAACCACTTGAATTCAGAACAAGCATGGTGAAACATTTTCTCTTTGTCAACTGCAAAGTAATACGTACTTTAAAACAATTTTAGTGACTTCTTTGTGCAAAGAAGCAGGAAAAAGTTAGCCTATGTTCACACAATAAGTCTGTATAAGGTAATGCTGAAAGTAAAATACACGGGTTGTTGGTATGCAGCAGATTCTTAGGCTTTAGAGTCTTCTATCTTAGGTTTTGTGCTATCAAATATGAAAATATATTTTAAAACCTGTAGTAACTGTATTTTTCTCATTCCATATATAAAAAATTGTTTGCTAAAAGAAAAAATAAGATTTCAATGTCAATAAGAATTTGGCATGCTGTAAAGTTATTTTCTGTATTTAATCTTTGATTGCCAATTCACAGCTTTTGTTGCCTGCATCAATGTCATTTTAGCAGCTTTAGCACTTCCTGTCCTTTGTTTTTAGCTATAGAGCTCTAGTGTTTCTGTAATACTTTTCATTGTAACTAAATTAATTTTTTCTACTTTAAGTAGTGATAAGTTTCAGAAAAAATGGTAACTGTTTGACTGAATTAAATACTTCAAGATTTACTGTTGCTTGAGGAGTACATATAATAGAGATGTACGTTCATTTTTTTAAAGGAGGAAAGAAGTCAAAGCACGCAAGAAAAGAGGCACAGCTGCACCAAACTCTAAAGAGCCCAAAATTAAGAAGACAAAATTATCCTCTTCAGCAAAAAAGAAGTCCAAAAAAAAGACCCATAAAGGTAAATTTAAATTTTAGACCTTCAATTTTTAAAATATTCAAATGTTAGTTGAATCTTAGTTTTGCTATAGCTACATATGTATAGATATAGATATATATAACTGTGTATAAATACAGATACGTAACTTTTTTGACTGTGTAACACAGGTAGTCAAAAAGATGAATTTCTTAGGTAGAATGTCTTAGGTGCACAAAATAGATAAATTTGGAGGGAAAAAAAAGATAAATTTCTTCTGTTTTACAGGAGAGGGAGAGCCTTTTGAAAAATATGCATTGCAAGGAAAATTTGTCCAAGAATTGGATATTGTATACCAGAAGGGGTTGTGAAGTATTTAATTCCTTGAGGCTTTGGTGTTGAAAGCCTTTTGGAAATGTTAGATAACCTTTTTACACCACAGATCTTGGGATAATGTATTAGAGCTCAAAGTGGTGACCTTTGAACTCGTGCAAATCTTTTTTCTTCAGTGTTTGCTTGCTTGGTTTGAACGTATGGTGCGTGCATGTGCACATGTTTATAAGTAATATATTGTGATAGAAATATCCTTGTAAACAATTTAAGATAAAGGATAAAACCAAGATAAGGTTTTTTAAATAGTGTTTCTTTTCAGATCAGGTTTCTTCAGAAGATTCAGACAGTTCTGATCAAGGTAAAGTATTTTAATATCTTCTGCTTTTTATGGTTCTGTAATGTATTATTTTGTGGTCATTTGTTATTGGTCTTAGTTTCATTTCCTGTCTGTTTAAATGTTTTATAAGGTGATAATAATGCTGGGTGAAAACGAGATATGAAGGGTCAAAATAATTAATTACAAATTCTTGGAGAAAAACTGTAAGGAATTTTAATGAGGAAATCTTTTACGTTTAAGTAAGGAATAAACGTGTGGGCAGATAACAGAATGGAAATAATCAGAAAAATGAGAGGTCAGGTTGTTCCAGAAGAGAGTAGAGGGTGCAGCAGAGATACATTGTTGTTAATTGCCTGGGTCCAGGTATGCAAATATGTGCTGTGTGATGTGTAAAGAAAGTATTTTTCTGATATAATAACTACTACATCTCCTTTCCAGGAAGTTTACTAATATGTACTCTGCTAAAAAAAATCAATAGATTTTAAATAAATCGTAGGCTTTAACTAAAGTCTTTTCCAGCTACCACCTGTAGTATCTCCGAGACCTACTTGTGGCTGGATGGACGCAGAACCTCAGTGACTCTTTGGGCACTGGTTGTCGCTGTATCTCAGTAATTCCAGCCCCCAGTTCCTTTTTTGATGAAACAAGCCCCGTCATGCCAATTCTTGCTGCAGACTGTCTAAGAAGGGATTGAGTCTTTCTGCTGATTGCTCTGCTGTGCTATACAGTTTTAGCAATGTCCTTGGCACCTGCGTTTTCCCAGCTAGATAGAGGAAGACCTGAAGCAGCTTACTTGTGACTCTGACCTAAGTCTCTGTTTGGTCAGGAAAGCTCTATTGGAAGATTGGGGTTTTTTTAGGTCAGGGCATATTTCTGATAATGAGATATTTTTTTGTTTGTTTGTTTTCACTGCTTCTGTATACTTAGACAAAGCAGTTATGCAGTAATCCGTGTTTTCTGACAATTTCATCGATAAGATACAATTGATAAAATTGTGATTTCAAATAGAAGTAAAGTAACTGATCCATTTAATATCATGAGTTGAAACTGTACCGTAATTCTGGGTTTGTGATTGTAAACCCTTAATTTTAGGAACAAAGCGCTATGCTGCTATTGTGTCAAGATCAGCATTTTGACATGATTGTTCTTAAGTTTGGCCAAAATGTTAGTATTGAATATATATATAGTATGTAAAGTATTGAATAATATTTATGCAAAGTTAAGTGTTCTTTTTATCCTCATGGTTACAATTAAATGTTACTCCTAGCATTATACCATCTAAATTAAAAAAAAGATAAATTATTTTAAAATTTATTTCATAAGCACTTTAAATTTTTTAACAGATTCAGATAACAGCGATGCACAAGATGGTCCTTCAGATGCTGACTTTTGGAAAGGTCCTCTACAAGAAGCAGATGAAAAATCACGGTTAGTTTGATATAGTGAGCTTGTAGCTAGTGAAACATACTGTGACCATTCAGAACTGAAAAGGCAGAGACTTTTTCCTTGAGTGTTTTAATAAATATTCTGACATTTAAAATTATGTCAGATCTCCTTACATGTAGTGAACCTAAGTATGTTTTTTTGAAGAGGAGACATACACAGCACTGTAGGGGAAACCTTTGTCAAGCCACTACCATGCCACTGCTGTCTTAGCCCCTACCATACCATTAACTGCCTTAGAAGTAAAAGGATTTCCTAACAGTCAGTTCACTTCTGATGCACAGAAGGGGAAATGTGAAGGGTATTGGAATGTACTGTATAAATCAAAATGGTCTATACCAGCTACAGATTCTAATCGGAAGTCTGCTGAATCTTTTTTGTACAAAGATAATCTCCTAGGTACAGATCCAAAGCAGAACTTTTTTTGACTTTTTTTTTTTTTTTTTTTTAACAGGGAGGAGGAGTTTGATGAGTATTTTCAAGACTTGTTTCTCTGAAACTTGAAGTTGATGTAGGCTGATTTTCTTCATGAATTGTCAAGATGAAAGTCTGGAAATCCAGTCATAATTGGGGACCAGAGACACCTTTCTGCCAGCATACCTTTTCTACAGTCACTCATATGGACCATCTCAGTAGGTTATCTTTGTGAAAGGCTTCATGTCTAAAAACCTTCTTTTAATTGTGGTAGGCTGTATACTCAGGAAATAAGAGAAGTAATTTTTTCAGATCACTGCAAAAGATACATGGCACCCAAACTTAATAGTAGGAAGGATATAAACAACCAAGAACATCATTTATTGACATTTCATTAAGGAAGTTAGCCGCTTTTTATGTTATCCCAAACTTCAGTTATTGTCATATTTTTGTAAAGGGGCATTTTGGAAAATTGTGTTATTAGTTTAAAGCCATACACTTTAATATATTTGTATTTCTAATTTATTAAAAAAGTTATTAGCCTTAAATGTATTGGTCATGTAGACTTTAATATTGAGGTATTAGTCTCTGTAAGTATTTTCAAATGCTATTGGAGAAGTTCAGTTTTTATCAAATATGTATTTTGTTTGAATTAAGTAAATCATATCTGAAATGTCTCCCCTACACCTTAGAGAAGTTTAGTTCATTGTGACTTTATTTTAGATTTTAGTTATACCATGATGTGACTGATAATTCCACTTACAAAAATCTGGTTCTTTGGTGAAATTTTTGATGTAAAAAATAAAGTGTGTGGCTTTCTACTGGAGAAGTACATGTGACTTGTATGTTATCTATGGTTTCTGATCTCCTTAACATTGACTGAATGTTAATCCTTCTTTAAAGTGTAATCCTAAATATACAAGTAAAGAACGTATATTGCTTGAGAAACTTACTGGATTCATCTTGCTCTTCAAACTGCAACACAGCTTTAAACATTCTTTATTTTATGTTTCCAAAGAAACAATCTGCACATGAATAGTTACAGTGGCTATTTTCTTTGTCGGATCAAAATTACTTTGGATATAAAGGACAAACTTTTTTTAATTAAATGTTGATGTTAATGTGAGGAAAGTTAATGTTGTATAAAATATATTTTTGATAAGTACTTCCCACTGTAGATATATTTATAGAAAGTATTTATAATAAGTATTCGATGTGGAAAATGTAAGAGCAGAGATGATTGCAGTGTATTTATGAACATTTTACATGCACTCATATGAGTAAGTTGTGAACTCTATTTACAAGTATTACTTAACATAATTACATTTTAAAGTTTGTACTTACATAATAGATGACAGTACAAGGACATATTTAGGGTGTCCTTGAGGAAGAAATAAACGTGGCCTTGCGTGAAGGCTTCTTTAGGTAAGAAGGTGGATTTAAAGGTTAATTCTCTGTCATCTTGCAAGCTTGGTTGAGAGTCAAATCCAGTCTGCAGCAATCTGCTTACATGTATGTAACTTGCCCAAAGGGGCTTTTGTCAAATGTGCTGCTATATTTGTTGCTTCAAGTATTGTATATTATGTGTTCTGGATAACTAACTCCTCTTTGGGTCTTCAAAATACAGTTATGAAATGGTGCAGTATACATGTTAAATACATAATTTAATACAGCTTGAATAAAATGACATGATTAAACAACCTTGACATAGCTTGCTTTAGTATCTGCATTTAATACAGAAAATCATACATGATACCCAATTTTATGTCATAACTCAGTTTGCATAAAATATTTGGCCTGTTTAGAAATAAGGATGTAATAAGTGGGATTTTTTTTGTGGATTACTTTAATTTTGGGTGATAGTTGTACACAGTATCTATGATCGCAGAGCATTGTTAGAAAGGTATATATTATGGCAAATCATTCAGTCATGTTCCCTAATCTGTGGATGCTGAGGGCCCTTCAGAGAGAATAAAAAAAAAAAAGTATGGTCTGCTTTCTTTAAAGGGGGAAGAAAAGCGGAAGGATTGAGTCTGCATGTCAAACTTTTTGGTTGCAGGAATTACATCTGACATCCATCTCCTCTTAGATTTGGAAATTGTTCCAGTGAATACTCAGATCTGTACATAATATACTAGCTGTTTTCCTTCCTTCATCTGCAGGAAGAGCCAGCTTTGTGAGACCTGAGTAGAAGGTATGGAGTGGAGTCTGTCATTCTTCAAGAACAGAAGGTTTTGGTAGGGAGATCGTTGTTTATGAAGAGCTAATTTGTGTGCAGTCTGTCGTCTTGGTTGTAGAAGGGGAGGTAATGTGAATTCTGATGTGCTCTGCTTCTGCTGTCCTCTCCTTCCCAAGATTAAATTGGTGCTAGTTCATTGGTTTTCAAATACTTTCATTTACTGCATTTTGAAAAGGGTGCATTGGGAGTACATGAGCCTTCTAAAATGCCTTAGAGTGTAGATCCCACTGTAGAAATACTGGTATAGGCATCTTAGTAAACTCTTACTTGTATGCAAAGTATGATGTTTATGGTCTGCCTTTTTAGATTTTTACAATAAAAAGTGGCCAGTTTAGGAACTGTGGGCAGAACCATTTGCACGTGGGCAAAAGAGTGCTTTCTTGGAGCTACAGCTACAATTTACAGAATTTTCCTTGGTAGTCTTGAAAAAAACCTGTGTACCATGGACCTGCTTTTAACGGATATGATCCTGGGAATTGTGTCGAGTGTTCCTGAAGTGAAGGAGCTGTTTACTCTAGAACTTTATAAAATATTGAGAATGAGGGAAAAGGACAATTCCAGATTAAGGAAATACACATAATATAAAAATCTAAATATACAAATTATGAAAATTGCAATTTTTTGTTTGAATTGTTCATGTTAGATTTCATTCAGTCAAAGATCTGTCAAAATTATTTATATTTTTTCTGGACATTGTGCAGAAGTTAGGTATTTTAATAAAAATACTGTATGTAAGTTGAATGACATGAAAAAACATCTAGAGCGCACAGTTAACTCATTTTGCACCATTATTTTTTCTTTTAATTTTCCTGTTTTTAACTGTAACTGTTTGTTTACTCCATTTAAATAATTTCCAACAAATGGTAAGTGTTTAGGACGATTGTTAAGAGATTGATCTATACTATTCTATGCGAAGCAGAAATCCACTGAGGCTCATTGAAGTTCTTTCTAGATGCCTTTTCTGTAGCAGAAACAGTGTCTGAGACAAAGAACTACAAAATTATACATGTTTTGGATTTTCCATCCTCTCCACTTCCACCACCACCTCCAGCTGCATTTTCAGCTAAAAAAAGAGAAGGAAAGGGAAGTGAGTATTTTCTGTTAATTTTAGCTGCTCTAATTTCTTCTTAAAAAGATGTTGCTTTTGTGATATGCATATTATGTGTGTTTGACCTTCTGAAAATTGAATGTGCTTTCGCTTCTTGTCTGGGAAAATGGATTAAGAACCAGTAACACATGCTGTATTTCTATATATACGTATGTGTATATAGTGTAGCAGTTGATACCAACATTTTTCAAAGGACCAAACACACACTGAACCACTCTTACTGGAAAGTTTCAGTAGTTAATATATATAACTGTCCCACACATACAAAACGAGGTATGCAAGCTATGCAAAAGAAATAAACTCTTGGATCAATATAATCTGTGAATCTATTTTTGAAGCAGATGATACAAAAAACTTTAATTTGACCTAGCTGTATAAGCCTTTATCCAACCCTGCATGAATCCCTTTGTAATTACCAAACGAGAGAGAGACACTTTTTGTGTTTGTTATCTATAGCTACTGATTCTGTTACTGTCTCTCTCAAATGATTCCACAGATGTTCATTGGTCATAGTTAAGATTCTTTCAATGTAATAAATTGCGTTTCCAGGTTCATTTAAGGTAAGATACCAATATTAGAATTAAAACTTACATGTGAAAGCTGTGGATCACCATGTTACTAGGTCATTTTCGACCCTTTCCACCTGCATTGAAACATGTCACATAATCAGTGTCCTACCCTCTGTAATTTGTGGATATAATCAATACTATGTTACTAACTATGCATTTTATTCTCTTAGTTTAATACTGTATTATGTTTTAGTTTCTGTTCTGAACTTTCCACTGTAGTGGTTCAGCAAATATGTTTATTTTGTTTTCTATCTACTGAATGGCTAAGAATAGCCAGGTCAGTGTGATCTAGAGAAACCACCATGGTTCAGCACGTATCAAATTATTGTTTGCATGAACTGACTTGACAAACCCATATATTTACATGGCCTTGATTTGACAGTGTCAGATCTGTTCTTCACAAACGTGCATGGTTGCATTCCAGTGCACATTCAAAAAGATGCAAAATAATTCACTTACGTTTTGTGATACTAGTTATGATATGCAAAGGTCAGATCCTTATCTCCTGCAAATCAGTCTGTCCATGCTTGCCTGTGTAAGGTTCCTTGTGGGAAAACACTTCTTTCCTTCAGTCAGTGACTAAGTGATTCCAAAATACCAGTGATGTAAGATGGTCCTAACTTCAAGTGGGAGTAGAAATATCTGAGTCTTCCTAACTGTATAATTTAAGTTTTATTTAAGAACCTAATGCTTAAGGGCATAGGATCAGACTTTAGTAACTATACTCTTTGCCAAGAAAGCAAATGTATAGGGAGGTTTGTGTGCAGGTTCCAGGTTGTTTTGTTTCATTTTGCTGGTCTTTTGGTTAAGTTCAGATGCTTACATTCCAGCGTAAGGAAAGAGTACTTTGTTCATACTCACAACCAGCTAGTTCTCAGCAATAAATTAATCTTAAATAAATAAGATGATACAATTAATTGCAAAAAAGTGTCTTTGAAAGTAAATTTGGGAGACAATGGGGTGGGCATGATTTCTGTGAAAGTGTGTGTAAGTGGTATCACAGTATGAGCAGGCCAAAATATTTCTTGTAATTTTACTACAGTCATAATATTTGCCTCATTTTATTAAATTTCTTTCACATCAAATCTGCTTTAATTAAGCCATGTAACTTACAGTACTTCTTAACCACTTTGCCACAATATTTTTTTTTTCATTTTAGCCTAGTATCATCTATTTTAGGAGCCAATAACTCTGGTTCCACTTCACACTCTGACAGTAACTTGATGGGTGGCCTTGAGTAGCCTCTCTTCTATGTGAAATGTGAATACTCACCTGTTCCCCACAGACACTGATTAACACTTAAACTAACTTTTCTTCTTTAAACTAGCTGACAATAAATCGTTCTGTAGTAAACACATGCTTTTTTGTTTTAATCTTTGAACCTTTTCAGTCTTCTCAGCTGATCAGCAAAGCTGTTGACCTGCTGTTCCTCATGCAGTACAGAATAAAAATAACTGACTCATTTCACTCTTACACTTGAGTGATAGGTTCTCAGTTTCTATAAAATCAGATTCTCTCCTAGGTTATCATACACAGAACCATACTTTCAATTTTAGGACTTGGGCTATCTTAGGAAGATTAGTGTTAAATTTGTAGTATGAGAGAGTGTATTTCAACTAAGAAACTGATGGTAGGGAGGTAGAGCCAAAAGTTTTATCTTAAACTTGGAAGAGAAGCAGGGATTTGCACTGGTTTTTTTATGTTCCAAATGCACACTATCCATTCCCATTTCTTTTCCTTATGCTTTTCATTTTCAACTTAAACAAAGAACCTGAATACATTTGGGGCTGATGCTACACAGAATTTTGATACATCTCTAGTATTCCAGGTG